GGGGGGGGGGGGGGGGGGGGGGGGGGGGGGGATTTCAGGTCAGTCAATCGACAACAAATTCAATTTCGAATTCAACAGTTTTATATGGCAATGTGGCTTACTGGATCTGGCCACCCGCCCACTCGACTCGACCGGCAGCCGCTGACCATGACCGTCAGCATTGACCACGATCTCCGATCTCCGTTAGCAATTTTATTCTGCACGCAGTGCGTGGAGCAGCCTTTTGGCCGTCTAATCACGGGTTGCAGCAGCACAATGCGTTTCCAGTCAGTGGCCCCAGCTCTGGGGTCATATAAAAAGCTCCAGTGGAGCGCTCTAGCCAGCGCAGTTTCAATCCGAACTCTTGGTTAGCCGCACACAGAATGCAAGTGAAATTCACAAAGAGTGTTTGCCTGTTGGCCGTGTGTTTGCTGCTGCTGCAGCTGGTGGCAGGCCGAGAAGAGGCGACAGTGAAGCCAACGCAAACCACGGATACGCGCGTCTCTTGGATTGCCCAATTGCTGCAGCTGCGTCAACAGCTGCGCACCTGCTTCCGTTCGGGCTCCGCCTCCGGCTCCAGCTCCAGCTCCAGCTCCAGCTCCAGCTCCGGCTCCGGTTCGAGCTTGTGGTCATGTTTTCGTGCGCGCAGTCTGAAAATATTCGAGGACATTATGGCCGCGGATGTGATTCCGCTCTACGAGGGCGTCCGGCTGATTGCCGCACCAAATGCCACGAATGGCCAGGCGCGACCAGCGGCCGACGAGCCCAAGGACCTGAAGCACCTGACCTGGTTCGATCAACTCGCTGTTAGCCTGGCCAAGGGCCTCACCACACACACGCTGCAGATCAATCTGGCCAAGCTCACGGAGCGTTATCTGAGCAACGGTGGGTAGCAGAGCTGAGCCTAATTACTCAAACATTCAGCTGAATCCTATCCACAGATGGGCCGGAGCGCAAGGCGGATACCGTGGGCAGCGCACGGCTGCGTCGGCATCGCTTCAACATGATCATCACCATGATGTTTGGCGTCACGGCTCTAGGGGCTGTGCTGGTGCCGATGGGCTTCCAATTGCTGGCCATTGTCAGCGGCAAGGCTTTGCTGTTGGCCAAAATGGCATTGCTGCTGGCCTCCATCAATGGCCTGAAGCGGGTGAGTTCTGCCCACATCAACTTTCTACTTGTGTTATGCGAGCATTTGCTTGGACAGGTCGCCAATACTGGACTCCACTATGGCTTGTACCATGTGCCCGGCGAGCATCTGGGCGGCTACTACGATCGCGGCGACCTGAGCCATCCGCGGAACGTGCCCATACCCGTGGGAATGGCGCCCTCAGTTGAGTTTGGCTTGAAGTAAGAGCGGGGAGAGTGAAGAGAGTGAAGAGAGAGTTGCTGTAAGAAAGTGGCACAATTTTCCAGTCAATAAATGTAGTTTATAGATAGTTGAAAAAAAAGACAGTTTTATTTTCAAGCAAAGTTCGTTTCACAGCTTTTCAGCTTTTCATTTGCCGCTGCAACTTTTTGCGGCAAGTTGGCAGCTCTGGTGGCAAGCTTCGCAGTGAGCTTTTGGTGTGTTGAGTTTTCCATGTTGCGCGAAACTTTTCAAAAGAAACACACACTCAACCATTGGCCACTGCCTCGGAGATGAATAAAAATATTTATGCCAAAATAAGTTGCTGCAAATAGTTCGCAAGCAAATAGAAAATCCCCGCACATGGCAGAAGTTTTTCTTTCGCATATGATTCAAAAGTTGTGCACTTCAAGCAGACTTCAAATTCACGAGAGGGCGACGACGCAGCCGACGCAGCAGGGCTGAGTCGGGTGGGTTGGGTGGACGTGTGGTGGCAACACGAGGGCTATAAAAGGAAATGCGCCGCTGATAAGGACCAACATTCTGTCGTCGGTTGCGGCAGCTCTGACATCTCGTGTCGCCAGCCAACGGAAGTCGTGCATTGCAATATCCTGAACAGCTCTTATCCTTTGTAGCCCTGCGAGGTGTACTGTCGTGTAACGGTTTCTGTGCCATTCAAAACGCTTTCACTTTTAATCTCGATCCAAGTGCGAGCTACGTGACTCCGCCTCGCCGTCAATTTCCCTCGCTCTAATCAACTTATTGGCTGCGTGTGACCGCTCGCTGCAAATCCTCTTAATCAGCTTAGCTCGCTGCGCTCCAGCTCCTGGCCCCATCCAGGACGCATTGCTCGCTTTTTTGGCCGTCGGTTAATTGAAAGTCTGGTCCAGGCAACGCCGCAGCGGCAATTGACAATTTCACGGTCCGATTTAGTGCAGCGGCAGACGCAAACTCCGACGGAATGAAGCTCGTGGTCTACTGCTATTTATCCATGATTGTGCTGGGCGTCCAGGTAAGTGCTGAGTGGAGCTAGCCGCGAGGCTCTGTCTAATTAGATTTCGATCAACAAGTTGCTTGGCCCAAACTTTTGCCTCCAAATTCAGCTCGTGTCTTGCCAATCATTTGAATTAATTTCCCTCTGTCAGCGACTTACGGTCGAGAGATTGATGGCTCCACGCCAATTCGAATTTTATGAGCAAAGTTTCAGAAACCTTTCGACTTTTGTTCAGCTTTTTCTGCTTTTTCTGCTGCTCGTGTGCGACGCCAGATTGCTTTCATTAGGCTCAAATTATGTGAATAAGTTCTGGGCGTGCGTCAGATTAAAGGGCTCGGACTCAAATATCATTTGCTTCGAAATCAATTTCATGTTTTATTGCACGCGTTGTCAATTTTATTAGATTTTTTATTCTTTCTCAAGCGACAGCTGTAATTTGTTCCACAAATTTTGTTTGGCCTAAAAGAGATTATCTAGTTAGTATAATTTATATAATTTAATAATTATGATATAATTTTTGTAATTATAATTGGAGCTTGTTTGAATAGTTTTTTTTTTTTATTTTTTATTTTATTTATTTATTTATTTATTTTTTTTTGACAGTGGAATTTTATATTATATTTATTTGAGTATATTTATTTTATCTGGTATCCCATCAGCCAAAAATTTGTTATAAATTATACTAAATTTTATTATCAATTGGTTTAAATTGAGCTACATTAGATAATTCTAATATAATCAAAATTAAATAAAATTTAAATGACAAACAAATTTAATAAATTTTAATATTACAAAAATAAAAATAAATTTAAGTAAAATAAATGTTAAATAAATAAATAATGAAATCAAATTATTTATATAAGTAATGCATGCTCCAAAATATTTAAATTTTCGCTGGGAATGTCTTTAGTTATCTACCTATCTATATTATAATGCATTGATTGTATGCAATGGTTATTCAGTGTTTAACTTGAGCAACTTTAATACGACCCATAGCACATTAAGTCTTAGTGGCTCAAACCCTGCAACAGTAAATTCTCTTAGTCAACTAAGAAACGGTTGAAAGATATCATGATTTCTTAGCTAAGACAATTATTACAATATAGAATAGAAAAAAATGAATACAAAATAAAATATTTTAAATATTATGAATAAAGAATAGTTTATTTTAAATACTATGAATACAGAATAATTTATTTTCAATATTATCCTATGCTAAGAAATCAGATAATTTTAATTATATTTATAAACAATCACGGTAGCACTCTTAAAATTCAAATCGGAATAAGAGAATATTTAAAATAAATAATGAATAGTTGCAGTAGCATAGCCACATTACACCTATTTGAAATGCATTCATAATGAATGTGTAGAAACATTTCCATCAGAGACCAACTAATAATTAGCTAAAAATAGGCTTTGCACTTGTGCACGCGTTTCCCCTGTTCAACTCTGACCTACAGCAGCTGTAGGTTTAACTTCATTAAGCAATAACAACAAGCTGATTATACAAACAACTCATCTGTCGATACAAATGTATGTGAGTTTATTCCTGGACGCAATACCTACGAGTGTAATCTAATTACAATTTACGCGAGAGCTTCATATGCGTGGGTCGAGAGACAACGAACATGGCAGAGCGACAGGCTACAACGTGAAACAATTCGAATTGTAGATTGAATGCGATGTTTTCATCCATTTGTGCACGGCTTGTGATTGAATGGATCCTTATCAGGTGCACCTTTGACCCTCGTGCTATCCATAATATCAGTTGCAACGATATGTTTACATAGGTTCGACGTTCTGCCTCGGTTGTTGTTGCTGTTTTTGTTGTTGTTAGCTACTCAAAAGCCAATAAATTCCATTGAGCAGACCAAATCGCCCCGAGTGAAGCCAAGTGGTCAGTGTCAAGTGGAGAAGAAATGTAAATTTTGCAGCTGCAATTTAACTGTGTGAAGGCAACTCAACCAGGGCGACTGAGCCAACGGCGGCTGTGTGGGCAAAAGTCAACATTCAGGCAAGAGGAAAATGGCCGGCCAGGCATATACACATGCACACACACACATACGTGTGCTGCAAATGATGGCCATTCATTGTGTCCACATTGGCTTGGCCTGGACACAATGCAATAGTCAACGTCCAGTCGGACATTGTAGTCAAGCTGGTCACTCACTCAAACGGCAGTGGGGCAGTTGACGCGCCCATTCCTCGAGCTTAGCCTGCACTTGATGCTCGCTTAATGCCGCATGTTAAGAGCATTAGCAACACTTTGGCCCTTAACGAGCTGTGAGCCACCGAGGCAGAGAGAGAGAGCAGAGTCCAAAGCGCCCGATTCCTGCTCCAGCTCTGTGACATTTGCCGTGCACATCTGCCAGGAGCCAATTAAAGTAAGCTGATGTGCTCTCAAAGTCTTAATTGGTACTGCAATACATATATGTATACCGACAGCAACACCGAGATGAGTAAATACACACACCTATACATATGTATATTTGTGTATGCCAGCATTAGAGAATCAGGTTATTGTCTTTCTTTTTAATAAGTGCAGAGACAAACTTTCTTAATTACCGTTTATTTGTCATTGTTCAGCTCGAAAAGTGTGTGAAAGTAATTTTTGCACTCGAAGTTGTTGCTGCTGAGTGTTGGTTGCTCCTGCTCCTTGGGTTGGAAGGGCGCAAACTTTTAATCGACACCAATTTGTCAACTGCGTCAGGGACAGAAGCTGCTCCCCAGACCCAATAAATCCAATATCTAAGTATTTCGTACAGAAGCAGCTGGCCACATTACCCACGCAAATTTATGCCAAAAAAAAAAGGAAAGGAAAGAAAAAACGGAAAAAAACGAACCCCCAATGCTGTCACATGAAATATGATTCGGGGTGGTGCGAGTGCGCACTTTGCATAAAATCCGTTGCAACATGCTCAATAAATTCCGAGACGCAGTCTGTGGCTCCGACGCTCCTATGTGCGACTAATTTCCGCCAAACTAATAGATGTCTTTGCGCAGCGGAAAATGCTGCGGTGCTGGTGCTGGAGCTGGAGCTGGTGCTGGAGCTGGAGCTGGAGCTGGTGCTGGTGCTGGTGCTGGGGTCACATGACTGAGCCATTTTTGCGTGTCATAGACGTGACATGACATAAAGTTAATTAAGCACCATTTGCTGGGGCAACAACAGTTGGCATCCCGAGTGCTCTGTGCGGTAATTAGTTAGCTTCAAGCCACGTAAATGGCCCCATTCGAACTGCACTTTCAGTTGCAGTTGCACACTGCAGTTAAATGCGGCTTAAGGGCTGGCGGCCGGGCAGTTGATTCGGCTTTTGCGTAAATTAATTAAATACTTTCATTTATAAACGTCCGCATTGGGTCCGCTGAGCCATTAGCCGCACTGGCCAATCAGGCGTATACGCGATAAAATGAACTTTTCATACGCCTCAAAGAAAGTCTTGAAAGGCGACATCTGCAATCTGAAAACTTTTTGCTATCTCTTAATGAGCTAATAAGAAACTTTTATTGATGTCGAAGGCTAATTTAATCTTGATTTGATTTATAATCCGCCAATTCATTGAATTAAAACTGAAGTTTATTGGACCTGAACTTATTGAATAAAAACAAAAATAAACCGAAGGGAGATTCTAATATTTATTTGGCTCCTGTTTATTTGTTGCAGAGCGACGCTCGAGCTGTTTTATGCCAGTGACTAAATATAGAAACAGAGTAGGGGAAGCAACCACAGAGCTCGCAGATTATTACAGATTAGCGATTCGCTAGGGAACTCTGCTGCAACAGCAGAACTTCTGCTGCAGAACTCTCAACTGTTTATAGCTTTGCAAGAGTGGAAAGCCAAAGGCGAAACAGTTGTCTGTAGTGAGCTGAGCTGATGACTAACAAGTATTAATTTGTAGAAATAAAAAATAAAAATAAATAAAAAATAAAAATAATAATATCAATATATAAATAATTAATAAATAATATAAAAATATAATAAAAAATAATGTATAAAAATAATAATAAATAAAAATATTAATAATAAAAAATAATAATAATTAAAAATAATAATAATAAAAATAATTAAAAATAATTTATTAAAATTATAATAATATAAATATTATAAAATTCAAAACAATATATTATTTATAAAAAATATATTGTTTATCATATATATTAAATTCAAGAATAATACAGCAATACTGCTTAAAAAATTATAACTTTAAATAATGAATTCAAATTTTTTATTTTATTGTCTATTATTAAAATAAATAATAAAGATCTATATATATTAATAAAATGATAAATAAAGATAAAAACCACACACTCATTTAAAAAAAAGATATATATCAAAGTTGAATAACTTGTTTTTATTTGTCGTTAAAACATTAAATAAACAATATAATAATGCATGATTTATTTTACTTCTACCAATTTTTATTTTCTTTTGAAAATTTGATTGTTTGCCCTAATAAACTTGTTTTTGCTATCAGAATAATTAACAATATGCGCTTGATGTGGCATAAACAAAATTGCTTACTATGTATATATATCATTTCCCAAATATATATAGAAGCTAATTTTTATCTATGAGCTAAGTATTTATCTGCAAGTAAATATTAAAATATTTACAAGCTTAACCACAAATTTAAAATATATATTATACATATAATACATAAAGGGAGAGAGATAAAGAAGCAGGAATACAGAGCTTAAGCCTATTAGGTTGTAAAATACTTTTGCTTAAAATTCGCACAACGAATATTCCACTTATAATCTTCGCAGGCAAATGCCTAGCTGCAGCTCATGAGAATCGCATAGAGAAGCAAAAGTTCAATGCTTCAATGGTGTGAGCTATTGAAATGAGAAATTGCCTTGCGTTTGATATAACAGAACATTATATACATTTCAATGAAAGATTAGCTACAATCCTTTAAGGACAGCGTATTAGTATGCATATTAGGTAACGTCGTGAAAAAGGCAAGCCAATTTTTGGTTAATATTTAACAAATACAAAAAATGAAAAGAAAAACGGCCAGAAAATGATGTTTTATAGCTCTGAGGACGCTGCCTGTTGCTGGTCAGGCGACCCTTTTAAAGCGAGTATTTGCAGTCTGGGTGTAAGCTGTTGCTGTAGCTGTATCATGATTAAGTCATGCTATGCTCGTACTATGTGAATTGTTGTATTTGAGACGGAATGCAAATATTTGGGAAGTCACGGCTTAGCGCGAAAATCTTTCGCCTCTGCCTGTGTGTGTGTGTGTGTGTGTGTGTGTGCAATAAATATTTGAACGGGCTGCCGAATACCTTTTACGGCATTTCCGGTTCGTAGTTGGCGTAGGTGTCAAGTTGTTGTTGTTGGCCAACGCCAACATCTGCCAGAGCTGGTGGCGTTTTAATTAAGTCATAATATTTTAGGAACTCTGCTGCTGGAACAGAGATTCGACACGAACAAACTTGTATCCAATTAGAGTAGAAAACTTTTAATACAAAATGTGTTTGACTACATCTGGTGCGGAGTTCCATTATGATAGCAGGCCAACGAATGCTTTTAAATTACCAATGAATTATTCTAAATAAATTTCGAATGCATGATAGCGTCATTAATATATGCACGTAGCTTTGCACGCTCCAAGAACTGTGCGCATAAATCAAAAATCATTTTAAAGTCAGCTGTAAAATAACTTGAACTTTATATGGATATCTGTGTGTGTGTGCGTGTGTTTGTATAGTATAAAGATAGAGGTGTCGCTGACAAGCAATAATAATTTTACAAACAACTCGGACCAGCTGCTGCCAGCTAAGAGCGAACTAGCAATCCCACAACTTTAACAAAGGAATCCAATCGACAGCCATGGCTGGTGGCAGCTGTTATCCTGGTGGCTGGGCGGCTCGTCCTGGCAAGCCGAATCCCATTCAGCGACAATGTTATTATGCAAATGAGCTTGCTTCGAGTGCCTTCAAAGGGATCATATTTATCATTTATTTACCGACTGTCATCAGCTTTGACGAATGCTGCGAATTGTTGAACAGCCTCTTGATTGACTTTACAATTTGCTTTTGCGTCAAAGATTAATGACGTCACTTGTGCATAAAAAAGCATGTGTCGGTGTAGGTGTGTGTGTGTGTGTGTGTGTGTGTGTGTGTGTGTGTGTGCAGCTTAAAGTTAGACCATCAAAGCCGCCACTAATTGACAGTTTCATAAGCATACGGCTCACCACGGCTAGCTCGTTATAGACCGAAATCGCGTCGGCTTTTTCGAGTGTTGCGCAAACAATGCGCCAAACTTCGAGCCACAAATACAATTATTTATTTTCATTTTTTTTTTTCCTTTCGCCTACCCTGAGGGTTGAGCACTGTTGCGAAACCACATTCATCAATTTAACCGTCGCTTCTCTGTCTGAGCGTGAACCCAAATGAAAAACAATTTCAATTAGCGCCCCGAACGCAACCTTTTATCAATTAGGCGAAGATACAAAAAATAATAATAAAACTGATCAAAAAAATTACTACAAAAATAAAAAAGCAAAAATGTGCCTAGTCAGAGTCAAAGTGCTTGGCTTGAAATATGACCTGCACCAGAAACATGGGAAACAAGAAGGGCGCGGCTTTGATTGAGTTTATCTAATTGCTCAGTGCGATAAAAATCACGAATTTCCAAAGAAATGAAAACCCTTTTGGAAACCAAAATAAACCCTTTGAAACAACTGTAAAGTAAAGTGTTTAAGTGAAGATTTCGCCAAGAGTAAGAAAAGAAGAAGAAGAATAAAGTTTCGTTGTGAAATGGAATGTTTAGTTGAAGATTTAGTTAAGTTTAAGTAGAGTTTATGCTTCAGTTTAAAGAGTATTAGATAGGCATTAAATTACATATAAAGCCTGTTTGTTAACAAATCTAATAAATATGCTCTTTAATTTAATATATGATGTTATATACATATATACATTTTACCATAAAAATTACTGAAAAGAGAATTTAAAAACCTTCAATACAGGGTATTAATGAGGCTGCCATAGAGCAATCCATAAGTTGAATGATTTGATTTCGAGCCCATGTCAAAGGACATTGTTTTTCCCTTGGGCTTCATTCCGTCGCTATTTATAGAACATTGAGTTCGTAAGCTGAAAATCATTTATGCTTAAAATTCAAGACGCAGAAGCACTTAGGTTTACGCTGCTCTGACGAGTCAGCTGCAAGTTACGCGTGTGGTTATTGAATTGTTCGGCTAGTGGGTCAACTAGTCGACTAGTCGACTAGTGAGTGGGTCGGCGTTTAATTAAAAACGCAATTGTGCAGCATCGGCGGCTGCACTGAGGCTCGGGAACAGCGACATTGCCCTGTCGACCCCTGGCCCCACTGCTGGCAGCAGGCCGGGGGGTCCGATGTTAGCATGCGATCCAACTAGCACAAAGCGTGTCATTGGCTTTGCTCTGATGTTGTGATGTTGTGATGCTGTGGCTCGTGTTGCTTAGTGAAAAGCTGTTATTGGCTCGACAGCCTGCTGATTTTTATCGCACTCGCGTTTGAGTTTTGTCAACAACATTTGCGGCACATTTTGAGTGCATATCTTTGCCGTCTCGTCGCCTGAATGACGGCTGATGCCGTCAAAGCGGCCATTCACGCCCAAAGAAGAAAACATCCATTTTGCTCTTACACTTTTAATCTTTCGCACAGGCGTGGCCCACCGTGAAGCGCTCCTTTGAGCTGTATCCGGGCGCAGCAATGCCCTACACCGAGCACCGAATCGCAGGTAAGAATAAAGCGCGCACAAATATACACATCTACATATACCTATATAGCTATGAAGTGGCAGGGGAAGAGAAGGGGAGGGTGGGCGGAGGATGCACTAACAAATTGGAGGGTAAAAGTTTTAGTCAAGTGCCGTCGGGTGAGATGCACTTTGGCGGTTCTGTAGAGTCCATACACTAAGAAAAAATAATAGAGCAATACAATGGGAAAGGAATTTACAATTGTCAAATTGATTCGCCTTAGCAATATTATTTAATTTAGTTCACAATATACAAGAGTATTTATTGACAATTCTATCAATAGACCCAAAGTTCACTTTGCATAAAGTTTCAATGGACAATCTCGATATTTTTTAGAGTGTAAACCCTTACAAAATATTTGCGGTTGGGCCAAACTGTCTCTCAAATTGCTTTCGCTCGCATGTTGTCAAGTGTTTTTCTTTTAACCACTTTAGCCGCAATGACGTATACGTAATTTATTTACACAAGAGTTGCAAAATTGTTTCTCCATGCAAGAAATGCGGGCAAACACAATCAAAAATTGCACTTCAATCGAAATCCATGCGAATAATACTCATGAATATTCATATTCATTCATCGATTGTCAGGGCAACAGCAATTCTGTGAACGCTTTGATGGTCATTAAGCTAAGATTGAGTTTCTAATGAAAAAAATCAGCATATTGAATTTTGTCAGTAAACTAAGAACGGTAAACTAACTGTAAGTCCATCCGACAGCATCTATAAATAGCATAACCAATCCAAGCTGGCCACACGCCAGCAATCGGCAAGGCAACCGCAGCTGCGTCCTTGGCCATTTCCATTATAGTAAACATAATATAGCTGGAGAAATCTTAGTTTTCCTTTTCCTTTTCCTCTTACTTTTTTTGTATTTTGTATTCTGTATTTATTCGGTTTATTTATAATTGCTGGGGTTTTGCGCCTTCTGCCGCTGTTAGCCAACAAGTAAACAAGTCAAAACTGAGATTGCGCGATAATTTATTCATAGATGACATCATCTTGAGTTTTGAATTTTGATATGATTAATTATGCACAGAGAGAGGGAGAGAGAGAGAGGGGGATAGAACAAATTTAAATATTATTGCTAGCAGTCTAGTCCTGCGGACAAGAGTTCTTTGAACCAGTTGCCCTGCCTGCACAAGTTGTGTAATTAAAAAGCAATTAAGTAGATTGCTTATCAATTTATTTAAACTTAGTGTTGGATTCCATTGACACGAGATGCTGTGAAAATGTGAATATATTCTAGATCAGCATCAATGCCCTTACGGCAATAATTTAAATCACAAAATCGTGGCTTAGGGTATATGACAGTCAGGTCTACCCAGCTACATAATAAATCAAAGAACTTTTTTAGCCCCAGAGTATTGGCAGCTTAGCAAATGCGAGCATTTTTTATGCTTGACTTTTGAGGAAAAGTCAAATGCAAAAGTTTTTTCTATAAATATTTAAAATAGTCTACATATAGTATACAATTGAAAGTTCTATTTGTTAATAAAAAAAAAGCATTTAATTAAAGAAAATTCTCAAATGAACTAATTTACTTCGGGCATACATATATACATACATATATCTAAGCAAATCTCCTCTAGGCCTTGTTTACTTCACAACAACAAACGTTTAAGTTCTCTGATTCAAATTGTGATGTTCATAGAGAATACCAAAATCGACTGTCAATTAGCATAAATGAATACATTAGTGCATAATTATACCTATTGCAAATTCAATGTCAGTCGTTATTTATCAATTATGCATAATGTTGCGAAGGTTGTTAAGCGCACTCAATTCAATTATTGAAATGCGCATATTGTGACAATTTAATGCAATTAAGCAACATAATAAACAATTAGGCGCCAAATGTCCTAAATCCCCACGCACACACACACACACACACACAAACGCTTAAAAGCCACTTGGCATTCACAGATACTCTTGCAAATATATGGACTAAATTAAATGACAAACGAAGCATCAGCATGACGAAGTCTAAATATCCTACTTGGACAGTTTATGATTGGGCAACTTGATTACTGAATAATAGTTAATGTATTATTGTTCAACGCAGTTAACATTTTAGATAGCAATATCTTAATATTTAACAACCACATTAATGAGAAAATGTTAATTTTTGTTAATTTTGTTTTAACTTTTTATTATATAATGAAATTAAAATAAATAATATTTATTTAGATAAACTTAATTTTTTTTTTACTTTTTAAAATATATTTCTAATAATTTAGATAATTTTTATTTATTTATTTATTTTTTAAATCATTAATAATTATTTTTATTTTTTTATTTATTTATGTTTATTTACTATTTTTATTTATTTAGACAATTTAAATACTGTGGGTAGTTTGAAACCTTAAAATAGATTGGTTATATAATAATACAGACTTTAGTCGAAAAATAATTAAAATAATAGAAGCTTTATAACAAATTAAAACGTATTATATATACATAGCTTCACAAATTTAATATTCACAATATAATATTATACAAAGTATGAATGCATTAATATTATTATTATTATTATTTTATATATTTTGTTTTAAGCTTTGTACTTACCATATTAGTTTTGTTTGCTAAGCAATTTGTAAAAATTTTTTTTTTTTTATAAAATTCTTTGTGAGCGTATTATTTTATATTTTTTTTAGCGATTTTTATAAACTATATCAAAGCTTGTTTATTAGCATAGTTGAGAAACGTAGCAACAGAAAGAAGAAAATAAAACATAAAAATAAAATATACGAACAATACAATTATTATTATTAAGTTTTATATGTATACTAATTCCCATTTTCAAAATATTAAAAACTAGAAACAACATTCTCATTTTACATAAATAATTTCTATGTGGCTTAGTTCAAGAAAATATATATATTTGCAGCAACAGAATTGAATACCTTATATACCCGAAGTTAGGGCATACAAGGTACTGCCTGCCGTGTGCACAATAAGCGATTTTATGGACAGACACGCAAAATACGCTTGGGCACACACACAGACACACACACACACACATGCATACATACACACTCAAGTTGCGTGTGTGTCGAGCATGCGAAAATGTCCAAGTCAGACTATAGTTTAATTGTTTTTGGTCAGGCAGAAGAGTAATAAAAAGCCAGCGCAAAGTAAACCATTTTGACGGGTTTGAGGGTGCCTGTGTGTGTGTGTGTGTGTGGACTACCAAAATCTAACTAATAATGCGCGCCATAAATCAGGCAACAGTAGCCATAGTCAGGGAATTAAGTGGCATCAGCTGGACAGCTGGACAGCCCGCAGGTCTGTGTATGATATATTAATTGCTGGGATGCTTGGGTCAAAACGTGGCTTCAATTTGCATGTGTGCGCTGTAAGCCAAGTGGCTTTCAATTAGGGCATCAACACACACACACACACTCGCACGCACACAGACAAAGCTTCGGCTGCAAATTGTTGCAACTTGCACAATTGGCTATAAATTGCTTTCATATGCCCAGCGGGCAGTTTATGAAGTAAGAGAGAGAGAGAGCGAGAGAGAGAGAGAGGTGGAATTCTAATCAAACTCCCACGCAATGCCGTTGCAGATTGCATGCATGTGGCCTCGGAGCCAGGTGATTACATTTTCAAGAAGTCAGCCGCAGCGCCGCCAGCGGCTCCATTGGCCGCGCTCAATTTCAACAGAGATGCGACGCTGCTGGAGCTGGAGGCGGCCACCAGCGAGCAGTTGGAGGCAGCTGCTGCCGCCGAGTCCGTCTGCGGCCTCTATGTGATTGGTGAGCCAGACACGATTGTCGAGATAACCATGAAGCACTATGACGTCAATTGCGAATCGGGTGGCCTGATGGCGGTGAGTGATCCCACTGTTTAATGTTCGATTATAATTGATGAGCTTATGCGACTGCGAAACACTCATTCTGTTGCAGTTTGTGGACGGCTGGGAGCTGAATGGCGAGTACTTTCCAGCAGTCAAGGATCATCATCGTCTGCTCGAGGATCGTGTGTTTGAGTTCTGCAACAACAACAAGCAATGGTAGGCAGACACAGAGTCGGGGTTTTTCTCAGAGACTTTTTGATGTAACCCAGTTTAACTGTGCTTCCAGGCCACGCTTTAGCAACAAGAAATTCTTTCGATCCAGCCAGAATGCTGCACTGCTGCAGTACCGCATACCCACTCGCGGCTCCTTTGTGGCCAACGTGCGCTTCCACAAGATATCGCAACGTAAGTTTCTTAGGAATCTAATCTAGGCTAAGACTTTTATTTAATCTATCTCTCTCTCTGTCTGTGACTCCCCTCTCTCTCTCTCTCTTCCCCTGCCAGCTTGCAACGTACTTGTCCAGGACACCGCCGCCGTCTATCAGATGTCAAACTTTGGACACGCTCGCAACTGCACACTCTCCGCCCTCTTTCCGGCTGCCGTCTCCCTGGGATCTCTGCGCATTGGCGGCAAGACTGTGCGCGCTCAGGAGAAAGTCAACTACGATGTGAGTACATTTAGTCAGGAATGAGTTGCTCTTGCTCTTAAATCCCATCCACTTCTAGTGCCACCAATACGAGGATCGCTTAGACATTGGTGGCTCGGCTGGGCTGGACACCACCAGCATGGAGCTGGCCAGTGCCGTTTGCGGCGCCTCCACCGAGCTGGGCCCCGAGCAGGCTGTGTTCTGTGGCGTTACCAGCGTGCGTCTGGTCTCCACCGGCCGCTACCAGAATCAGGCAGCTGTCATCGTACGCAAGGCCGACGAGCACGATCTGGATATAGCCACGCTCCTGTGCGCGCTATAAGTGGCTGACTAAGGAGACGAAGGAAGGGATGCGGCCGGCACAATGATTACAATTTGATGTTTGTAAATATGTATGTGGGTGTGGATGTGTAAGCACGATGGCACCAGAGAGACAAGGCAAGGCAACCCCCAGCACCAGCCCCCAGCCCCCAGCCCGAAACCCCAAGCCCAACCCCAACCCCAGCCTCAGCTCCCATTTTGCTTGGTTATTATTGTAGCGCTTTACCCAATCCAAGCACAAAGTATTCACATGCCAAAACTAAATAGCGAAAAAAAAAAAGATTAAAAAAAAAAAGAAAGTAAATTCAATGTAATTATATGTGTATATCAAAAATTCTGAATGTTAAAACTACAAATTGGTTTTATTTGCTATCCGTGTGTGGGTTCGGCGGGGTCAGTGGGCACCGTTTATGGCGCAGTTTATGGCCGCTCGGCTAATCGAACTAATTAATAACGATGCGCTATAAATAAGCAACTATAATCGTGGTGCGGCAGCCAACCGAGATAAGCCAGTGGACTGACTCTGGGCAGCTCGATTGCAATTAAAGCAAGTAGCGCAGCGCCGTCAGCAGAGCCAGCACGCTGGCGAGGCTGTAAGCCGTTAATGCAGCTGCGCCATCGTCCTGCGGCTGCTTCTCGTTCTCGAGCTGCAAGCAAGGGATAACAGAGCAAAGACTTTAAGCATACGATGCGACGATGGAATATTCAAGGACGGCACGACTTACGCTCTGCTTGAGTGTGGCCTGGAGCTGGCGACAGCGCTGCTTCTCGTTCCAGCGGCTTGTGGCGATGCGGCAGATGGTGCTGTTCAGGCATCTCTCGTCGCAGCCGGCTGCGAGCTTCGGATCCGCCTCGGTCATCTTGTAGCGCCAGAAGAGGCGCAGCAAGTCCGGCTTCTTGGCCATGTCCTCGAGCAGTTGATCGATGCCAGCGGCGCTTGTGTTCTTCGTGAATGTCTCGCCGAACTCGTACTCCTTCTTCCAGGTGGGCGGCTCGTTGGGCTTCAGGTTGGCCTCGGTCAGGTTGATTGTGTAGGTGTGATGATCCAGCACCTGCAGAGTCTTCGCGTGCAGCCGGTAGATGCGGTAGTTGGGATTCTTGTAGGAGAAGGTGGTCAGGCTGCCGCCATTCCAGGAGACAGCCATGGCCAGGCCCGTCTCCGTGTAGTGGACATTCATCTCATCCTTGTGCGTGTGCCCGTTGTAGATGCCCGTGATGACTCGGCTGAAGCGCGCCACGATGCGATTGTATTCCCTGGACCACTCCGTCCAGCAGTCGCCATCGCCAGAGGGGATGTGAGTGAGCACCTGAACCCGCTCGCCGGCCTTCTCGGCGGCGAGCAGCGTGTCGTGGAACCACTGCAGCTGCTCCAGCACAATGGAGCCGTCGTAGAATAGCCACCAGTTGTACAGGTAGCAATCCATGCTGTTCAGCGCAACGATGCGCTGTCCCTCCCTCAGGGCGAGCGTGTAGTAGCCGCCGCGACGCACGGTCGCCTCAGCCTCTTTGGGCAGCCACTTGGACCACAGGCTCCACACATGCTGGTACAGCCAGTCGACTCGCAGAGCGTCGGGTATCTCAGCGTTGCCAAAACTGAGTGGATCATCATCAAGCGTATATATATAGAGAGTGGTCTTTGGTTCTACTTACACATTTGCTGGGTGCGGCTCATGGTTGCCCAGGCAGGGATAGATTGGGACTTTGGGAAAGTGCTCGGCGAGCAGTTGATCGATCTCCGTGAGCATGTCCATGTTGCCCTGCCGCGTGGTGGACCACACATTGTGCGGCGGCACATCCCCGGTGTGGTAGATCCAGTCCAGCGCGTGCTCCTTCTTGATCTGCTCGAAGGCATTCACGATCAGGTGCTTGGGCGTGTCGCAGTCCCGATAGTCGCTCCAGTGGCCAGCGCCCGTTGTATTCGCATCGGCGGGCAGATCATCGCGGCAGCACATGGGCTCCTTGCACTCCGCCAGGCCGCCGCTCTTGTACTCCGGATCGTAGTGGATGTCGGTCAAGTGGAGCACCAGATAGTCATTGTCGCTGTGCTCCGCCAACTCGTAGTTGGACTCGTTGGGCGTCTCGCCGACAATGGTCACGTTCAGGCTGAACTCCGGCTGCTGCACCTGGCAGATTTTGATGGGCAGCATGCTGCAAATGCTCCGCGACTCGGCAATCGTCTCGTTGAAGATGTAGTCGAGGATCGGCCAGTTCAGATCGAACAGGCCGGAGCACACCTCCTGCGTCTGAATATTGAAGTAGTCGCAGAAGCTCAGCATGATCTTCTTGGCATTCTGATCGCGATTGGGTCCGGTCAGCTCGCCATTGGGGCCCGTGAAGGTGCGTCCGATCACGTTGACCGTGGCGCGGCAGATGGTGCACGTGAAGTACTGATCGGCCGCGCTCAGATCGACCAGGGATTGGGTGAAAATGTCCTTCTGGCTGTGTGACGTGCGCAACTCATCGCCCAGCTCTTTCAGTCGCGGCGACTCGACGCCCGTCCGCAGGTACTTTAGAAATTCCTGGCTAATCTCTTCCGCGACGCTGACTGCGAATGGAAACACGATTAAGGCGAATCTAGATTCTCCGTGGCTGCTCTTGAACCTCTCAACGGGCTGCGATAAGCAACTGTGGAAAATAAATCAATCACCTGAACTGGCAGCTGTGAGACGCTCTTCAGTGCTGAAGCTGCTCGGCACACCGGGCAGGTTATGGGCGTGGCCGCAGGCGAGCAGCGAGGCTACGCCCAGCAGTAGCAGGAGACTCCACTCACGATCCATTGCGTCTAGGCAATGCGGCTAAGACTAAACTCACGCGAAACCACCAACTCATATTTATAGGCAGCGGACGCTTATCAATCGGCCTATCGTAATGCTTTAAATGTTATGACCGTTAAACATGATTGATACAATAGTACCAGAGATTTTTATGGTAAGTGATAAATAATATAAAATATCTACGGCTACCAAATTGTTTCTTTGATAAAAGAGGGGGAGAAAAAGAGAGCAATATTTATTATTATTAAACAATTAGTGGAAAAGGTAGCTCATATAATTGTAATCCCCTAAACGACTTGGCCACTTCAGGCACTTGATCTGATATGGGCCCATCCGATTAGCACTGAAAATAAATACAAAGGCTCCGTGGACACGTGCGGAACTGCTCAATATTCGATCAAGATTCGAGCCTTGACTTTGGCAATAAAGCAGAAATTCATATAAATAAATATATATATATACCATTTGTTATATACGACAGCAGCTAGGTTTTATGTCTTTATTGGCTAATTTTCGCTAATATGATGCTTAGCGCTGATTAGGCTAGCCCATAGTGTGAGCATGGACACGGGCCCCACATGTACTACATGCACTCTCCGGCCGTCGATAAGTGGACGAAAATAATAGATTAACCAAGTGGCATAAACAAGATTACATATGTGTGTTTGTGAATATATTTTGGATTTTGTACTTAATCACGATACTGAGAGAATGGTATGTGCGATTATATAAGCTATTATTAGTGTATTACAGATAAAAGTCTCTAGAAGCCAATCCGCATGGCGAGAGCCAAGGCCAAGAGTGAGCTAATACTCAAAGCGCCAAGCACTGCCGCTCCATCATCCTTCTCCTCGGGTTCATTGTCCAGCTGTTGATATCAGATGAAAGTTTCTGATTAGTTGAATGAAATATTTTAACTGCAGCGACAACTTACGGCCTCGAAGAGACGCTGCTTGAGCTCCTCGCAGCGCTCCTTCCGGTTGTTCACTGTCGTGGCGGCGCGGCAAAGGGAGCCGGCCAAGCAATTGCGATCACAGCCGCTGGTCAACTGGGGCTCCGCCGAGGTGACCCTGAAGCGCCAATACTGCAACGAGAGTTCATATAAATATGATGCATATCATAATTTGTGGCATTTGCTCCAGCACCGAACCCACCTTGCGCATCAGCTCTGGCTTGTCGGCAAAGTCATCCAGCAACTTGTCAATGCCAGCAGGACTCAGATCTTCGGTGAACTCCTTGACAAACTCGTACTCGAGGAACCAATTGGGCTGCTCAGCGGGCTTCTTGTTGGCTTCATTCAGGTCGTATATATAGGTGTGATGGTTGGTCACATCATACGTGTCCGGATTCACAGTGTATACCCTGTAGTTGGGATTCTTGTAGCTAAATGTGGTCAAGGCGCCGCCATTCCAGGAAACCGCTGTAGCGTGACCTTCCTCAGAGTAGTGCACATTCAGCTCATCCTTGTGCGAATGGCCATTGAAAATGCCACTGATGGTCTTGTGGAAGCGGGTTATGCAGCGATTGTACTCCCGGGCCCACACCGACCAACAGGTGCCGTCGCCCGAGGGTATGTGGTTCAGGACATGGACATGCTCGCCGGCAGCCTCGGCGGCCAGCAAGGTGTCGTGGAACCACTGCAGCTGAGGAATCTTGTTGTTGCCGCTGTGATACAGCCAGAAGTTGTCCGTGTAGCAATCGTTGCCATTCAGCGCAATGATGCGGAAACCCTTCTCTGGCGAAACTGTATAGTAGCCACCCTTCAATATGGTCTCCTTGGTCTCTGCCGGAAGCCACTTGGACCAGTCCTTGTACAGGTGCTCGTACAGCCACTTGGTGCTGATCTCATCCGGCACTCCTTCGGGGCTGAAGCTGTAGCCAAATGGAATGGAGATTTTTCATATAAGAAGGAAAAGGAGAAAGAGTGTTTATTTACTCACAGATTGAGTGGGTGTGGCTCATGGTTGCCAATGCAAGGGAACACGCGTGTCTTGGGAAACACTTTGATAAACTGATCGGATACCCTGCTCAGCACATCAGAGTTCTTCTTCACAGACGTTCCCCAGACCATGTGATCAACGATGTCGCCAGTTTGATAGATATATTTGCAGTCCACCGTTTTGGCAGCATGATCGAGCGCCGACTCGAATGATCGCCAGGGCAAGTCGCAATCCCGATAGTCGCCCCAGAAGCCGGCAGCGTCGCTGGTGCTCCCCGTGGTGCTCTTATGCCGCTGACAGCACAGCGGCTCGGGACAGGCCGCCAGACTGCCCGGCTCATACAGCGGATCGTGGTGAATATCGCTGAATTGGCATATTTTGAAGTCGTTGGCACTGTGAGTCGGCGTATCCGACTTGGGGCCACTTGGTGCGGGGACTTTGTTGTCGACAGTCAAGGTCCAGTTGTAGGCCGGGTTGCTGCCCGTGTTGCAGAAACTGACCTCCATGAAGAGGGAGCAAAAGCTGTGTGAATCCATTTCCGAGTTGCGCATTATGTACTCCACAGTTGGTAGATTGAAGTCGATCAGACCCTCGCACACCTCCTCCGTTTGGAGTTCCATGCGGCGGCACACGTCCATCGCAATCTTCTTCATGAGCACAGCGCTGTCTTTGCCATTCAGCTCGCCGCCTTCTTCGCGCACGGATCGAATGAAAACGTTGATCACGGAGCGACACAGTGTGCAAACCACAAAGCTATCGCGTGTCTCCAAGTCGGGCAGATTCTTGGTAAATATATCCTTTTTGGTATGTGCCTTGGCCAGTTGTTGTGTTAGTTTTTGAAACGCTGGAGTTTCCACTCCGGTTTTCAAAAAAGTGTAGTACTCTTGCTCCAAGCGCTGAGCCACATCATCGGAGATGGCCGAGAGCACTTTATCCTCCAACTCGAAGTCCACCGGTACTCCTGGCAAATTTACTGCCGTTGCGGCAAATAGACCACACAGCAACACAATCAACGACTTCATGGCGTTCACTGATCTACTAATGGGCTGCCCCAGCAGAACACCAATTTATAGGCATTGAAAGGCCATCAATAAGGCCTTATCATCAAATAGCGTACCCATTCAGCGTTTTTACTCTTAACAGTTTGATAAGGTTTAATCTATAATGAAGTTAATAAGTGATTAGCTAGTTAGTCCGAGTGTACTAACTGCAGTTTTATTCTGTATCTAAAAGCAATTTAGAATAATAGCGGGAGGCATTTGAACATTTTATTATTTTATTTTTAGAGTACTTTGCAGTAAACAACTATTTGCAGATAAGAACCAGTGGAATAATAATCATTGCATTGCTTAAAAGACAACCATTCTCATATATCTGAATTCCATTCGTTAATTTTAAGTGATTCTTTAGGCATTCAAAATATGTTTTTTGATGAAGAATAACTTTTTTAAAAGCGGAAACGCGCCCAATTTCGATTGTTATACTTTATATTATCGTTTGTCATTGTGAACCAAATAATAAATCGATAACATATTCGAGTTATTCTCGACGGCAATTACACGGCTTTGTTTTGGTATGCCTTTTTAAAAAAAATGAAACTAAAATCGGTCAAAAGCCAAAGAATAAAGAAAGCTTTTAGACTATAATTAATTAAATAAAAAAATAACTGATACCATTTAAGCCATTAATATCGTTAAATTTTTAAAATACCAAACATGCTTAGGCATTTGAATCACTATTGTGTGCGTGCATGACAACCCTGCTTTATGGCAGCTGGCATCATAATTCTAAACAGCTGAGTTATTAGCCATTAAAACGGGAAAGAAAAACGACGGAAAGATTTTATAAAAAGATCAGAATCTTTGGAAAAATTAAAGAAAATTGGAAAAAGTAATAGATCAATTAAAGAGATAAAAATATTTTAAAACGCTGCGCTGCGTGTGTGTTGTGACTGTGTGCGTGCATGTGAGGCGTGAGTAATTGTATGCGACACTAGCAAACACAGGAGTCAGTGACGCCATTTTCTGTGCGAATTAGCAGAAAAAAATCTGAGCAGGTGGGGCAAAACAGACGCAACGGCAACGCCGCGTGACCAATAACTGAGCAACGAAGAGAACGGACGCATACATAGGGGCATTCAATGAGCAGTCTAATCAACTTTCTTAATCCGAAACTAAAGCCCTCTGTGGAATGCGATGCCATCTGCGAGGATGGCTACACAGCTGCGAATCTCATATCAGACAATGAGGAGCACATCGAGCGGGGGTTTATGTGCTTCGCTGTATGCAAGCCGCCCGTTGATATCGTCTTTGACTTTCCCAAGGCCATCGATCTGAAGGTAATTAAGCTGTGGCACAGCTCCGGAGCTTTGCGCTCCACGGGCTTCGAGGTGCATGGCAAATATGATGGCATTTGGGAGCGTGTCGCCTATGTGCGTGACCTTCCAAAGGGTATGGATTCGGTAACGTTTTGCTATCAAAGCGATTACAATTCGCGCAGCAGTGCCGCAGCCGCACAACAGCGCAGCGAAAAGGTATTCTTTTTCAAGACGGCCCACAAGATATTGGGCGCAACGAACAGCGTTAAGATTGTGATTCGAGCTACAGAACGGTGTCCGCCTGTGCTGCGTAAAATACAAATGTGGGGTCTGCCTGCTCGCAGTCTAGATAAGGCCGATCGCGAGCTAATGAAAACTATATGGAGCGAGATAAGTGATCCGTATGGCCTCAGGGACCAAGCACAGCAGCAACAGGCAGGCCAGCGTTCGCCCTCGCGTCACATTCCGGAACTACGCGATCAGTCGAGGCTGGAGATACCAGAGGAGTTTCTTGACTCTATAACCTGGGAATTAATGGTGCGTAGATTGTATTGCACTACAGTAACTCTAACTCACGTTCTCGTTGCGTTCCCTTCTCTTTCTCTTTTTTAGATATTTCCCACGGTGCTGCCATCTGGTAAAGTGGTCGACCAATCCACCATTGATAAGCACTCGGAGGAGGAGGCCAAGTGGGGTCGCCTGCCTTCCGATCCGTTCACGGGACTAGAATATACCTCACAACGCAAAGCAATATTAAACCTGGCGCTCAAGGCGCGTATCGAAAAGTTTCTAATGGAGCACTCGGAGCACTTTAAGTCTGCGCCTCGCTCGCTGGGCAGCTCGCGTATGCGCCGCCGCCATGCCTCTCAGTTCGCTAGCCACATGTGCCTGCCGGGCAGCATGAGCGTCGGCACCTATTCCTCATTGAGTAGCGGTTACAAGCAGCAACAACGCAAGACCAAGTCAACAGTCACTGCCACAGCCACATCGGCATTCTCAGGTTCCCTTTCCCCAACATCGCCCCCCGCTGCTAAGCGCGCGCGACACAGCTACTCAGCGTATACAGTTAGCTCCACTGTCACCGCCAGCAGTGCAGATCAATCGCCGACGACCTCATCTGCTACAGGCACAACGTCTTCCATTGACCAGGCCATACAGCAGGCTCTGCAGAAGATCACCCGCTTCACCCAAGTGGTACCCACGCAGCCCATGCAGCCGCCTAGCTGCATCAACTGCCGCAGCGGTCAGTTTGCCTACGAGATTCGCACCTGTCGGCACCTGGTTTGCCGCGAGTGCCTCGTCATCCTATCGGCGGCGCAGAAGTGCGTGTGCAAGGTCTCTTTTCAAGGCGCTGACGTGGAGCGCTATCACAAGCTGTCGTAGTCGTGCCTATCCATTCAGCATAGTCTCGTATTCTAGTGCTTCAATATAATTAGGTTCGTGTATAGGATTTTTTGTTGCCAATCTTCAATCTTCAGATACCAGCGAAGCGGCGCTATTGGGCGTTCTGGCTTTACTTCTAATTTAATTGTATTTTTTCTTCATTTTAAATAGTGTCTTCTATTTTTTGATTATTGAGTTCGTAAGTTCGTAAAAATAGGTCTTAGAATAATTTATATCATATCAGCGTCGATTTTAGCAAGAGCTGAGATTTTTTATTCGAAGCCAAATTACACTTGGAATGACGGATTGGATGGATGGATGCTCATTCCCAATTATCAGTATCAGGTCACACTTAGTCGGCAATGCGATTAAACTTACATTATATAGTATATGTATAATCATAGAGCAGATAAAGCGCGCATAATTTTTGTAGACTTTATACAACCCACAATTGGATGGACAAGATCAAGCGCGAAGTTTATATATTCATAACATAATAAAGTTTAAAAAGAACAATATTTAACCTGGTAAGAGAAGCTTGTATCGGAGGCTCCAGGAAACTGTTATACAGATCAAGTTGAAGAAAGATTTGAATTTTATGGAAATAACACAACTGCACATGTGTGTGTGTGTGTGTTAAGCGCCTCAATAATTCGATTGTCTGGCAACGCTACCTAAAAATCGGACAATTGTAATAAACTAAATGCATCTGAATGGATGAAAATACTAATGTTACGCCGCAGCCAAGACGTCGTTTGGGATTAAGATTAATAAGAAAAGCCAATACTACGCCAGGGCTTCGTCAACAAATAAAACAACCGGCTGCAACACCACAATCCAAAGAGGAAAAGTCCTCTGACGCTATTGCAACTCCACGTGCTCTGCCTCTACAGCTGAAGGCAAACTCAACAATCTGTCGACGTCCTGGCTTGGCACGTAAGCGCAAAGATTTGACTAAGAAGAGACTGGAATTCGCAGCTACTGAGAAGCTAGAGGAGAGGCCTAAGACACCAGAGCAGGAGTCGTCGACAGAAAGTACAAAGCCCCAGCTTAACACATGGAGAGAGCGTGAAATAATTGAGCTGGAAGCCGATATAGATATATGGAGAAATGGCTTCATTGCTGCAATGGATGATTTACAGAAGTTGGTGCAGCCTAGAGTAACCAAACAATCTTTGCTCGCCCAATTAGGCATACCTCTAGAAATGCTTAAGTACTTAGATGAAGACTGATACACTAAATGAAATACAATTAGTATTAAAATGTATTTCGGCAAACAAAACAAAACGAAAAACGTGTGTCTAATATTTATGTGGGCGCACTGGCTTTTCAGGATCGAAGAGCTTGGGATCTTGCAGGAAGTCCAAATCCTTGTGGTAGCCCGGCATTAGCAGGCAGCGTTGGGCGCGTATTATCGCCTTCTCCACATCCTCCTGTTTCTGCTTGCATAACCCGGTTATGTGGCGGCCGTAAATGCGACCCGTGTAGGGCGATTGGAACTGGGACAGCAGCTTTACGTTCTTGTAGTGCGGTGTTATGTTGTGCTTGCACAATATGCACTGCTGTGGGTCCTTTTCAAAGGGATTTGGTATATCAATAGGTTCGTCGGCATTTTTTGTTGTGGCTGTGTTTTCCTCCTCACTCACAGCAGGCGCATTGGCGAACAAGCGAGGTAATAGTTGTTGCGTGCCCCTCAAACTACCCACATTTGCTAGGGGTAAAACTCAGTTATAAATATTCGTTTAGTTTATTAGATTATCATTTACCATTTCGAGCGATAAGTCTTGTTAACTTAAACATCTTTAATATTTCCGCTTTCGGTTATTAGGGCAGCGAGGCACACCAGGTAGAAAAGTAATAATGTTGCCAGTAGATATATTTCAACAGCTGTTTGCACATATGCCAGCCCTGGCAAATGGAACTCAACCATCTGGCAGCGTTTGGCGGTATTTTTAAATAATAATGCTTGGATATTGAATACAGAATTAAAATGCAAAGACTTTTAGTTATTATTGTATAGATATATGAGTAGATATACATGCTCCCAAATAAAACAAGTCTATCTGAACTTTTTTCACTATTTTTTATTTTATTCCCAATCCGTTTCGGGCATCACATCTGAAGAATAAGTGAACTTTCTCGGCTTAGGTTTAATTATATCATCCACAAATACAGCATTTTTTATGGTAGTTGTAGCTGTCTCTGCTGTGGTCGTGTCCTCAATAACAGCCCTAGTAGTACTTTCAACTGCAAAAGCGTTTGTCAGAGTAGGGGGTATATCAGTTGTGGTACTTTCAGGTGTTTCGGTTGTGGATGTAACTGCGAGAGTAGTAGTTGTGTCCGGTTTAGCAGTTGTAGTGTCTACCCGAAAAGATGTGCTTGATGGCGACTCGGCTGTGGTTGTAAATGTGGTTGTGTCTGGCGTATCGATAGAGGTCTCGGTTTGATAGGATATAAATATAGGTAGAGAAGTCGTTATATCTGGTGATTCGGTTGAAGTCTGGAAGTATGTTGTTGATAGTGATTCAGTCGTTGATATAGCTAAATTTGTAGTATCTGGTAAATCGGTTGTGTTTGCTGATTCGGGTGTATATTGCGTTGTAGTACTAGCAATGTTTGTGGTAAATTCTATTTCAGCTGACGTCTCTTGAGTAGCAAAAACGGGAACTTCGGTTGTTGAAGGACTTTCTGGCTGGGACAATGTTGTTGGTAGCGCCCAGTTTATATTGGTGGTGACATCAATCGTTGGCGTTGTTTCTGTGGTAAACTGATGAAATGCACTTTTTATGTTTTCCACTTCGGTGGCCGCTTCTGGCTTTGTTGATGTTGATTCTGTAGTAAAGTCACTTCGTGTGGTTGTTTCCATGAAAGATGTAGGGCTGGTTACAGGTTCAGATTCAGGTGCTAGTGAACTGGTTGTAAATGCAGCTTCAGCCGTTGGCTCTGTCGTCGAGCTATTTAAATAGTTCTCTTCGGTGCTTCCGTCTATAGTATTGATATAGTAATAAGGTGTGGTTGCTTCGACGCCTGGCGTAGTTCCAATTATAGATAGCAATGAAGTGGACATCTCGGGTATTGCCGTAGTACTCGTGGATGTTTCAGTTGTAGAGTAATTTGGTATATCATTATTCTCTGCGATATCAGCTTCAGCTGTCACCCAATCGAAATCATTGTTGGGAGTTGGAGTTGTACGCATTGGCACTGTCGGTAATAATAATGCTGACGGAATCTGCAGTATATTTGTCTTGTTTGATGGTCTATACGGCACATATTTCTTCACATTATATGGCTGGTGTATGCTGACGTAGTATTTTGACAATGTAACTAGGTCCTCGCGGCTGGCAATGGAATTTGGAAGAGCTGGTGTATTTGCAGCAATTCCAACTTTTCCAGCAATAATAGGGATTGCAAGTAAAACTGGCAGAAGAACCAGCAACACATTCATTTTGATGCGCTTGTAAGGGAACTACAAGAATGACTAATTACCCTAGAAATCTGTCGCTAAGTTGAAATCTTTATTTGTCTACCTGACCTACCCAGCATCACCTTTCCCTTACCTGTTTTAATGACTGTTAAGGGGTGGGCAAAGTAATTATAATGCGAACGGACGGTTGCAAAAAATCTAAGGAAATTCAAATATTATTTTTGCCGCCAGGGCTGCAGTACGTATTTGTAGTTGGCAGCTATAGCTAACATTGTGTTTGGTCACACTGTTGCCGGCCAGCTGTTTGCTTGATTTGAAAGAAGAAGAGTGGCGTGCATCGTATTCCGCGTTTTCTGTTGAAAATAATTTTAATTAAAAAAATACCAAGTATAACCCATTGCGAATACGCTCGATTCTGCTTCAAATCAATAAAAAAACAAATTTATAATTAAGGTAAGCTACTGGAGCCCCTAATTGCGGTTGCTCGGCGATGCCGGCTTAGTCGGGTAAACGTTTGGCAAATTTTCATTAGGGTGACCCATGTTTTTATTGCAACCATTTTTAAATCCTATTAGAGTGGATAACAAATATTATTAAGTACCCAAATAATTTTGCATGAATATTGCAGAATGGATTCTGACTTGTATGATGAGTTCGGAAACTATATAGGACCTGATTTGGACAGCGATGATGATGATGATCAAAGTATTTATGGTCAGCCCGATGTTCAGGATGATCAAGATGTAAGTAAATAAAAAACATAAATTATTCCACTGGTTATATATATACTATATGTTTTTGCAGGAGGATGCCATGGATGAGGATGAAGCGGAGCCACAAGATGATGAGGATAAAGAAGTAACAGCAGTTGTGTTACATGAGGATAAACGCTACTACCCATCGGCCGTCGAGGTGTATGGGCCGGACGTGGAGACGATTGTGCAGGAGGAGGATGCACAACCGTTGGACAAGCCGCTCATAGAGCCCGTGAAGAAGCTGAAATTCCAGATTAAGGAACAGGATCTGCCCGAAACTACTTACGATATGGAATTCATGGCTGATCTCATGGACACGCCACCATTGATTCGAAACGTTGCGCTTATCGGTCACTTGCACCATGGCAAGACTACATTTGTGGACTGTCTAATACGTCAAACGCATCCACAGTTTGAGAACATGGAGGAGCGCTCGCTGCGCTACACCGACACGCTTTTCACGGAACAGGAGCGCGGCTGCAGCATCAAGGCCACACCGGTTACGCTTGTCTTGCAGGATGTCAAGCAGAAGAGCTACTTGCTAAACATCTTTGACACGCCCGGCCATGTGAATTTCTCGGACGAAGCCACTGCTGCAATGCGCATGAGTGACGGCGTGGTGCTCTTTATTGATGCGTCCGAAGGAGTCATGCTGAACACCGAACGTCTGCTCAAGCATGCTGTGCAGGAACGGCTAGCGATTACTGTGTGCATCAATAAGGTAAGTTTATTGCTTGTATATAAGAAATGTAAATGTTTAGTTGCTAACTTAATCCCCATTTAAGATCGATCGCTTAATTTTGGAGCTCAAGCTGCCGCCTCAAGACGCTTACTTCAAGCTAAAGCACATTGTCGAGGAAGTCAACAGCTTGTTGAGGTTTGAGAATAGACATTTTCATATAGAGAATCAATTTTAATGAGAAATTCTCTTTTATATCTAACAGCACCTACGGCAGTGCGGATGATAATCTGATGGTTTCGCCTGTGCTAGGCAACGTTTGCTTTGCCAGCTCTTTGTACGGCTTTTGTTTTACCCTAAAGTCCTTCGCCAAGCTCTATGCGGATACGTATGAGGGCGTGAATTACAATGAATTTGCCAAACGTCTATGGGGCGACATGTACTTCCATAGCAAGTCGTAAGTTTGGATTTGAATGGTATCTAGGTGCTCATATAATAATCCTTAAATCCTGCAACAGGCGAAAGTTTACCAAGAAACCGCCACATAACTCGGCCCAGCGCAGTTTTGTGGAGTTCATTCTGGAGCCCATGTATAAATTGATTGCGCAAGTGGTGGGCGACGTGGACACTACGTTGGCGGATACCTTGTCAGAGCTGCACGTGCGCGTGTCGAAGGATGAGATGAAATCCAACATACGGCCATTGCTGCGCGTGGTATGCAATCGCTTCATGGGCGATTGCAGTGGCTTTGTGGATATGTGCGTCGAGCACATTAAGTCACCGCTGGAGAATGCCAAGCGTAAAGTGGATCACATATACACGGGCCCAAAGGAGGGCGATATTTACCGTGACATGATATCGTGCAACCAGTACGGCACCCTGATGGTCCACAGCTCTAAGATGTACCCCAACGACGACTGCACTTTCTTCCAGGTGCTGGCCCGAATTGTGTCCGGTACACTGCATGCTGGGCAAGAGGTGCGCGTGCTGGGCGAGAATTATACACTGCAGGACGAGGAAGATTCCCGGATTCTTCAAGTCGGTAGGCTGTGGGTCTACGAGGCGCGCTACAAAGTGGAATTGAATCGTGTGCCTTCGGGCAACTGGGTGCTCATCGAAGGCATCGACCAGTGCATAGTGAAGACATCCAGCATTGTGGACATCAATGTGCCCGAGGACCTTTACATATTCCGGCCGCTCAAGTTTAACACCCAAAGCATCATTAAGATAGCTGTGGAGCCGGTGAATCCCTCAGAGCTGCCAAAAATGCTGGACGGCTTGCGTAAAGTGAACAAATCGTATCCGCTGCTCTCCACCCGCGTCGAGGAGTCAGGCGAACACGTTATCTTGGGCACTGGCGAGCTGTACTTGGACTGCGTTATGCATGATCTGCGCAAGATGTACTCGGAAATCGATATCAAGGTGGCCGATCCAGTAGTGGCATTCTGCGAGACCGTTGTGGAGACCAGCTCATTGAAGTGTTTCGCCGAGACGCCAAATAAGAAGAACAAGATAACCATGATATCGGAGCCGTTGGAGAAGGGCCTGGCCGAGGACATCGAGAACGAGACTGTCTGCATCAATTGGAATAAGAAGCGCATCGGAGAGTTCTTTCAGGTTAACTATGATTGGGATTTGCTGGCAGCCCGTTCGATTTGGGCTTTTGGGCCGGATAGTACTGGACCCAACATTCTGGTGGATGATACGCTGCCCTCCGAGGTCGATAAAAATTTACTGACTGCGGTCAAGGACTCCATAGTGCAGGGCTTTCAATGGGGCACACGCGAGGGGCCGCTCTGCGAGGAGCCCATACGCAATGTCAAGTTCAAAATTCTGGATGCCGTCATAGCCAACGAGGCACTGCATCGTGGTGGCGGCCAAATCATTCCCACAGCCCGTCGTGTCGCCTACTCGGCTTTCCTCATGGCCACGCCCCGTTTGATGGAGCCGTATCTGTTTGTCGAGGTGCAGGCACCTGCGGATTGCGTCTCAGCGGTCTACACTGTCCTGGCGCGTCGCAGGTGAGTTTTAGTAAGATATACATTTGCTTGACGTGTATTCATTTATTCTATGCTTGCAGAGGTCACGTAACACAAGATGCGCCAGTCTCTGGTTCTCCTATTTACACAATCAAAGCATTTATACCCGCCATTGACTCGTTCGGATTTGAGACAGATCTGCGAACGCATACCCAGGGCCAGGCCTTCTGCCTGTCTGTATTCCATCATTGGCAAATCGTGCCAGGCGATCCGCTGGACAAGAGTATTGTCATCCGCCCGCTGGAGCCACAGCAAGCCTCTCATTTGGCTCGTGAGTTCATGATCAAGACACGCCGACGCAAGGGTCTCTCCGAGGATGTGTCCATCAACAAGTTCTTCGACGATCCCATGTTGTTGGAGCTGGCGCGACAGGATGTGCTACTCAACTACCCACTATAATTTATAGTCTGTAACTATCCAATAAAATACTGCGCAGGGCAGAACATTTTCAATGGAAGCAGGATTGCAAATTCGTTTACGAAGATTCTTGACCTGTTTTCAGCAGCAACTGAGAAATGAAAATGCATTCGTCATAAAGAAAATGAAATACTATGTTTACTGTTTATTAACGTTCATTACTTGTGTCTACGCAACTGTAAACCTAGTTAAATAGATAGATAGTTCAGCAGATAACAAGTAATACTCGATTATTTCGAGTACTTGCTTAGGCGGCGCCGTTCTGCAGTGCTTCTGATTCGTAGGCCTCCTGCTCGGCCTGCTCGTCGTCGAACTCGACATCGTCGTCGGCGGTTGCTTCCTGGAAGGAGTAGAAGAGTATGCGGTTATAGGCAAGGGAATTTGATAAGCTCAAGCTGAGGGTGTCCCACCTGGTACTGCTGATACTCGGATATCAGATCGTTCATGTTGCTCTCCGCCTCGGTGAACTCCATCTCGTCCATGCCCTCGCCGGTGTACCAATGCAGGAAGGCCTTGCGGCGGAACATGGCCGTAAACTGTTCGGAGATGCGCTTGAATATCTCCTGAATGGCCGTCGTGTTGCCAATGAATGTGGCCGACATCTTGAGCCCGCGCGGCGGAATGTCACAGACGGCCACCTTCACATTGTTGGGTATCCATTCGACAAAGTAGCTGCTGTTCTTGCTCTGCACGTTGAGCATTTGTGTGTCCACCTCCTTCATGGACATGGGTCCTGTTAATTATTAAGAGTGCAGCGTAAAAATACTTGAACTCTGCTTCTGGTGGCAGCATTTTTTCCGCTTTCTTTCACATCAAAAGCCAAGTTGGCTTTGATGCGTCAAGTAAATCCCCAAATCCCTGAATATGAAATACTAAACGGCTTCTAAGCCCTGCCAGCGCACTTGGCCACCTGGGCTATGCTTGTGCTGCTGCTGCCACTTTGGCTTCTGCCGGCGATGCCGGCGCTCTTAGGCGTAACTCTAGTGGGTGCGCCGGAGACGGGGCCTGCAGGTGATGGACACCAACAGAAGCAGTCCCATGAGGCAACTAAAAAAGCTGTTTAAATTCTTGCTTGCTTTTTTTCTGCGCTTCCCTGTTTAGTTTTTTTTTTTTTATATTTTAGCTGGCGCTCATTTTAGTGATTAATTATTTTGTAAGCGCGGACAAACGGAGAGGGGGACGCGGAGGAGCACGTTGGGCGACAGGCACTGCCGCTGCAGCCTTAAGTCACGTTCAGCATGATTAGTTAAGGCCCAAAAGCCGTGTCAGGCGGCGGTCGCGGCACTGGGACTGCGCCTGCGACTGAGATGGGGATGGGAATGGGGATTGGGATTGGGACTAGAGCCGAGACTCGCAATTCCCCAATGGATCTTGAAAGTAAATTTCTAATTACGCGCGTTTTGCGAGTCATCAGTCAAAGGCAAAGTGCGTGCGGATGGCGGGGGCGGTGGCGGTGGCGACGGCGGGGTCGTTCGAGTGTTCGGCTGTTGGGCACACAAGGAATAACAAATGAAATATTATGCGGCATACTTTTGGGCGCCGCAGCGCAGCAGTTTATTAATTTAAAAATTAGCGCGAAAAAATGCGACCCCCTGCCACGCGCCAGCAGCGAGAGCTACGCGAAGCGGGGAGCAGGAAGCGCGACTGGCAGCAGGACAAGGGCGACAAACAAATTTGCGCTACGTGCGCGCTGACGGATTGCAGCCTTTTTAGCCGCCTGTCGACGTGCATTAATCATTTTTAGTGGCACCCATAAGTAGGCTTTGCGTTTGCTAATAAAATTGTCGTCGCCGCGTCGCGTCGCAGCGGCGTGGCTACGTGACTACGGCTGAGGCCTATGCGGCGGACAGGTGCGCCAACCGCTGTCCATGACAAAGCGACTAAGTTGGACGGCCCTAAGCTGCGTTAGCTGCGCAACGGACGCTTAAGCCTAAACCACAAGCACACACACACACACACTCACACACACACACACACACACACATAGACACCCTCATACATAGACATAGTTAGCCACATCCGCGTTTGTTGCTTGTTGTTAAAAAACTATTTTTCTCCGTCGGAATGTGGGCGCGGCTCGCCCTTCACGTGAGACCCGTCAAAGAGCACGTGGAGCCCCGCTGTCGAGTCATGTCAACGACACCCAAAAGTCAACCCCATAATCGTGTCCATTTATCAGGGCAAAAGGCCAGAGCACTCACCACGGAAGATGCAGGCGACGGTTAGGTAACGTCCATGCCTGGGATCGCAGGCGGTCATCATGTTCTTGGCATCGAACATCTGCTGGGTGAGCTCGGCGACAGTGAGGGCGCGATATTGCTGCGAGCCCTTGGCCGTCAGCGGCGCAAAGCCGGGCATGAAGAAGTGGAGGCGCGGGAAGGGCACCATGTTCACGGCCAGCTTGCGCAGATCAGCATTCAGCTGGCCTGGGAAGCGCAGACAGGTGGTCACGCCGGACATTGTGATCTAGGGGCGAAAGAGATGCCGATTAGGAACTGCTTAACTAAATAGGTGCGATCGTGACATCATTAGTTAATCCTGAAATCGTCGTCGTCGTCCTCATCCGTTGCTAGTTACTTACAGACACCAAGTGGTTGAGATCCGAGTAGGTGGGTGCGCCCAGGCGTAAGGTCTGATAGCAAATGTCGTACAAGGCCTCATTGTCAATGCAGAACGTCTCGTCAGTGTTGACGCACAGCTCGTGCACCGAGAGAGTCGCATTATATGGCTCAACGACCACCTCCGACACCTGGATGGCACCTCGGCAACGTGGACAGGGGAACAAGGTGCGGCGGATGGATTGACCGAACACAAAACCGAACGAACAAACACATTAGTTAATCTGTTGGTGGGAATTCACTTACGGAAACCAGATGATTCAGATCGCCATAAGTGGGCGACGAGAGCTTCAGCGTGCGGAAGCAGATGTCATAAAGCGCCTCGTTGTCAATGCAGAACGTCTCGTCCGTGTTCTCCACCAGCTGGTGTATGGAGAGCGTTGCATTGTACGGCTCCACGACGGTGTCGGACACCTACGTAAATGGCAAGAGCGAACAACGGCAAACGGCAACAGAAACGGAGCAGGTGACGCATGCAAGAAAATAAAATAAAGCAAATACATATATTAATTGCCAGAGTTAATGAAAATCTAATGGAATGAATGAATTTGTTTATATATTAAATAATTATATATATGAATATATAAAATAATAATAAGTCACATTCCAATTAAATTGCCAACGAGTCAATAGTTCTTAATAGATAGAGATAAGGAGTTACCTATTTAGCGGAAGCTTAAATAAACTGAATTAGAATAGTTTACATAAGTTAAGTTTACATGCCTCAAATATTAAAACAGATGACTGGATTTAAATATATATATTTAAATATGCCCTATGATGTACTGAGTACACTAATACAGTAGAATTCTGTTATAACGACCCCGCTAACGGTTAATGTGACGAAAATTCTGGTTCCCAGACAAAATTATATGAGCAAACTTATACGGATAAAGCGTATGCCGGATATATCGACGGACCCTTGAGAATCGTCATAGCCGGATTCTACTGTATATATCATCGGAATATAGTATACCCAAAATTTATTTTTAATCAAAGTTCAATATAATTTTAAATCTTATTGAAATCAAAAGAAAATTCTCAAAAGTTTTCAATTGATATACATACATATTTACTATTATATTAAAAAGCATTCTCTAATCATTTTCATTGAGTGTCTGTGTTCGCTTGGAGCTCCATTAATTTATTGGTGATTTCTGTACATCAATTAGACAACTAAATTGCAGCTTTAATCTTCATTAATGGATTTGAACTAACTTAATTAAGCTACAGTGTCAACGGTGAATGCATAAGTTTCGTTCGGTCTCTCGAATGCAGAAATTAGAGAGATTGCATTCGATACTCAGAAATGTGTTTTGCACTGTGATTTTGCCTTGCTGTGGGAGGCATCGAGTGAAGTACATGAAAATTGCATTTCAGACAATAGATGCATGCAATGGACGCCGCACAACTAAATGGAAAATGGATGGGGAAAACGTGCTGCCCCTCAAGGATGTGCACCTGCCGCAGTCCCCAGCCAAGTGTTGCCAACCTGACGGGCATACAAGCCAGTATTTGTTGCATAAATGCACTTGCATATTGCATGCAACACTTCACGCATGTGTTCGAGTGTGTGTGTGCGTGTGTGTGCAACTGAAAATTATGTGTAATACTTTGGCCAGGCCTATATTTGCATTGGCAAGATGTATTGCAGTGTCTGTCTCCAGCCGGCCAGTTGCTGTTTGTACAATGCCAAATGTTTGCTCATAAATCCTAGCAATTATTTAATGGCGCCGACACAGAGCAATAACGTACGCTCACCTGGCCTACAGCAGATACTGCCTGAATCTAATTATAATGAGTTATGCACGGCCCCAACTTTCGTTACTGCACTTGCATTTGCTGAGCTGCTCTGGCTAAATATTTGCTATGCTCGAAATCTGAAAAGGATTTGACATCTGGATGCTGGATGCTGCTGCTGCTGCTGCAGTGCATAGAATTAATTAGAGACCATTAACTGGTTTCATATAAAACGCTTTTGATTTCACTTTAAAGCTGATACGAAACGAAAAAAAAAGAACATAACAATGATAATAATTAACTATTAAAATCTGCGAGTAATCACTTAAATTTGATATACGCATTGGGTGACAGGCGCGTGGCAGCTCCTGGCCACAACAAAATGGCCGCCAATGCCAAAACATTGCGGTAATTCGCTGGGCCGAGAGCACATAAATATCAAATGCCAGCAAGTGGCGAGCGAGGAATGGGCAGGGGGGGGGGGGGGGGGGGGGAGAGGGCTTAGCTTAGAGGCTGTGGCCGAAAGGGCCGAACTGACCCAATCCCCATGCAAAGTGCGACTTTGTAGTTTGTTCATTGCTGCTCAAGCATGACGGCAATAAATTAAAGCGAAACAGAGAATGTATGTTCCATTTAATCTGCATATGGACTCACAGCGAGTGCTCAAATAAAAATGTCCAGAGTGGGATATATACATATATATATATATTGGTTTGAGCAGTTTGTCGAATGCTAATTTCACGCATCAATAAACCTTTTCTGCTCGCCTTGAAAATTCCGTGTCAAGTTGCCAGCTATTCAGCAGTTGTAAAAATGAAGAGATTGCATCTGAAGTTTGGGTAAATAAATGCCATTATAATGATTTTTTATTGTCTGTCGCTGTCCTTAAATTTCTTTTATATATTTGTATTGTTGAGGCAGGTCCGCATACAAATTGTATATTAATTTACTTATTATTTTAAGAGTATTTTTAACAATTTCTATTGTTATATGAAAATACTCTTTACATGATATGAAAATTATAATTGCATTTTTATTATCGACTGGCAATGTTTCACTGCTTTTAGAATCGAACTTCTTTTATATTCTTGTCTCGCTTTGAAGGAATTGAGCTAGTAAAACAAAATCATAGCAAGCTCAAGGATAAAAATAAAACCAAAAGCAACTTTTTTGAACTATTTCGGATTGACTGAAGTAGCTAGAATTTCAAAGTATGACTACCATTTGGAAAATTCAATTAAGTATGAGATTAAGTCTTATGAAATTTGTGCTAAGGCTGAAGAAAATGTTAGGTCAAGGTTTATAGAGAGCAGATCATATTCAACTCCCAACTTGGAATGCCCAAGGTCTTCAGTTGAGCTGCAAGTTGAGCAGTGAAGAACTTACAACTGACCTAAACGTCAAACGATCGAAAATTTGTGTTCTATGCTCCGTGGCAAAAAAAAAAATAAATAAATTGAGCTGATAATAAATTTAAACAAAATACATTATATATTATACAAATAGTAATTGAATCATAATGGAGTACAAAAAGCTCACTAAGATAGCCCATAGACCAGATAAGAGTGAGAATTGAAACTCACTCTGATAACCCAAACAAATCCTTGATAATCGTAGGAAAGGTATACCTATGGAAAAATTGTAGACTAATCGAGCAATAATGACAAAAGTCAAATGTTATTAGCTGAGCTCTACTTGGACTGATCTACTAAGAGTTAAGGTTAAATTAATAATCAATTAGCATATATGAACACAAAATTTCATATAAATCTCAATTATATTTAATATAATACTTTAGTAAAGACAAAAACAAAAGTGTGTTAAATTTCCCTTTAAAGTTGTAGTAGACTCAGGATTTTAGATAATTAAAAAAAAATATATAATCAAACATACAAACTTCATAAAAATCTCATACACTAAATAAACTTTATTTGTTTTTTATAAATTTCAATGTAAAATAAAAAATTAATTAGTTTGATAAAACGAAGGGAATGCAGGAAAATATCCCGATGATGATGCGCTGTTGACTGTGCACCGCCTGTTATTGACAATCAATTAGCCACTAAATTAATTAAATTAAATGTCGAAATGTAATTAAATGCTCATGATGATTATAATGCAAATGAAGGCGTCTCACGTGCCGCCCGAGCTGGGCGTGTCTGCGTGTGTGTGTGTGTGTGTGTAAAATATGCAACTAGGTTAATTAAGCAATAATTGAAGCGTGTCAGAATCCAGCCATTGAGGAACCAGCCCACGAAATACCCATGTATACCACCTAGAGATAACTCTTCCTTTCGTGGCCGGCCCCAGCCAAATTGCATTTGCAGCCATCGAATTGTCAATTAGCCGCAGGTCGTTGGCGGTTCTAAAATTCTCTGGCAAATTAATTAATATTATTTGGCAGATCCGCATACCGTGGGCAATAAACGAGCGACATCAATTGAAATTGGCACACAAGGGGCCGAAATAAAATAAAATTCGATATGCAGAACACTAAAGTTGAATTTGCAATGCTCTACATGACTACTCTATGAACTCAACTGGTATGATATACTAAAGAGTAGATATGCTTAAGAAATTATATTTGAATATATCCTTTCGGATATTGAATATATCCAATCGGACATTGACTATATTCTAATTGGAATCGACGTGAAGTTGGAATTGAATGCATACATATTTATGAAGGCAAATGGAACTATCTCCAATATATTTATCTCTACAGAATGTCTTCTATATGAGATTATATGAATCATACGGAATTGATTAATCTTCGATACGAAAAGTTGCAAAATTTCTCTAAGCATTCCAGTAAAATTGGAGTCAACTAGAAGTTGATTGCGATTACTTGAAAAAAAAAAAAAATATACATCAAAATACATATTTTTTAATTATTATAAAATCTAGGTTTTACTTCTAATTAACTAGAAATTGACTTTTATAGCAGGAAAAAAAAGTTAGTTTTTATTATATAATAAATAAAAAATTTTAAATCAATTTGCTGTTGACTGCGCCATTCTTCAAAAGGGAAAAACAGTCTAAAAATAATAATAATAAATAAAAATAAAATAAAAATAAAAAGAGACTAGGGCAACATTTGAGTCAGATTTGTTCAGGATGCGGTTGAGGCCAAATTTCGTAGGCTGATTTTGGTGTATTTGACAAAAAGGCGTGAAGGTGAAAAGCATTTGGGCTTTGCTGGTTGGCTTACAAGCGCCGCTAACGCAACGAGTGCACGCTAAGCTGATTTGGCTAAGCGGATTTTGCCAGCCCAGAATCATGCGAGGGGAGGGGCGGGGAGGCTGTGCTGATATATTGAAATGGAATGCGAGCACTTACCTTGGGTGAGGGCACCACCGAGAAGGAGTTCATAATGCGATCCGGATACTCCTCGCGTACTTTCGAAATGAGCAGAGTGCCCAGACCGGAGCCAGTGCCGCCGCCCAGTGAGTGCGCCAGCTGGAAGCCTTGCAGGCAGTCGCAGCCCTCGGACTCCTTGCGCATCACCTCCAGCACGGAATCGATCAGCTCGGCGCCCTCTGTGTAGTGGCCCTTGGCCCAGTTGTTGCCTGTGCGGGAGAGATAAATAGCCAGATGAAGAGATGAATAGAAATAGACACAAGTGGATAAGCAATTACATATTTATCTAATCAGCACACACACACACAGGCACACACTTGCACACATGCGTGCAGTTAATAAAAACACATGCACAGCAACGACAGCATTAACGGCAGCACATTGTGCCGAGTGACATGTACAAAATTAATTTTCATCGTCGTCCGCAGGCCATTTTATAATTGCAATTATCATCAACAATCCGGACAGCCAGCCACGTCTCCGGCAACGGCGGCAATTAACGGAACAACAACAACAACAGCACACGGTGGTGCTCAGCCAGCTCAGTAGCAGGAGTAGCAGGAGCCGGCCATGCATGGCCCACTGATGCTGCTTATCAGGATTGCTTATAGCAAGGACGACCCAGTCGCAATTTCATCAACGTCATCTTGTTTGCACTTGGCAAAGCAATGACAACAGCACATGAGATGCCGTTGCTGCTTGTTGCTTGTTGCTGTTGCTTGTTGCTGTTGCTTGTTGCTGCTGCTGCAGCTGGAACAACTGTTGCCAAAGATATGCTCGCTGATGAGGGCCACCAAACTGGCAACACAGAACCAACTGCCGATCAGCTGCGGGGCGAGTTTTGCGAGCAATAACAAAACAGGAAGGCAGAGCGGAGCAACGGGTGGAACACGCTTCGACATGGCAGCATTAATGAGCAGCTAAAATGCATTAGCTGCACGCTGTCCGATGTACTTCAGGGCTAAGGTAATTGATGAACGTCGCCGTTGCCGGGGGGCATACGCCCGGGCAACGTCCAACACAACACACACACGAGGCACTCGCTCACTTGAAGCACTTACCCGCGCCGGATTGGCCGAACACAAAATTATCGGGCCTGAACAGCTGGCCCATGGTCGATTGGCGCACCGAGTCCATGGTGCCCGGCTCCAGGTCGATGAGCACGGCGCGGGGCACGTACTTGCCGCTGGACGCCTCATTGTAGTAGACATCGATGCGCTCGAACTGCAGATCCGATTCGCCGTGGTAGTAGCCATTGGGATCGATGCCATGCTCCGCTGAGATGATTTCCCAGAACTAAAACGAGTAGAGGAAAACGGGAAACGTTAATATGTATATGGGAAAGTAGAATGGGAACATAAAGGATGATAATGACATGGGCTTAGTACTTAATAAATATATAAAATATATTTCCTTATATATTACACTCTCTCATTTCTCATATATTCCTACTATGAGTCCTTTATCAATCAACAAATTCAAAGAATAATTCCAGTTATTTCCTTATCAAATAACTTTTAATCAACGACTAGATAGGAAATTTCGTGTAGAATGCACCTAGATACGGTAATCTGGCTGCTGTGCGCTCGTATATCATAATATTACATTCTATGCGATGAGAAATGACGCAGGACTCGCTGTATTTTTGCAGTTTACGGCACAGCGCTGAAATATTATTTTTCAATCAATATACGTATCGGTTCGCATGTGTCAGCAAATAGTGTGTGCCTCTGTGGCCATGTGTGTGTGTGTGTGTGTGTGTAGGTGTGTGTTTGTGTTGCATTGCTTTGGCAATCAGTGCATATAAATATGAGTGTCCTTTTTACATGCCGCTTGCTTTTATGGCCAATAGCAGCGCCAACGTTGCGTCGTCGTCGTCGTCGTCAGCGTTCTGGTATCTATCTGTTTGCGATTTATGCGCGTGCATATGCTATAGCGTCCACATCCCACCACCAGCCAGTCCAACCCGTTCAAACAGCCCAAACCGTGCCGCACCACCCGCCCGCTGCTTCCTTCTGCAGCACTTTATATGCCGTGAGCAATTTCTGTTGCATACTTTTATGGGCGCGCACTTTTTGCTGGCAGAGTGAAGGAGAGAGCGGAAGGGAGGCAGCCAGAGAGCGGGAGCGATGCTCGTGTTATTTTTTGTTGTGTAACGAGGGGGAATAATTGAATCCTTTTAGGTGTTTTCATATATTTATTTATTTTTGCCTCTTTCTATGGTTCGAGTGCTTCAGCGATTTTCCTGTTTCACCTCTGCACTCCCCATTACCCACGCACTCGAGCTCCCCGCTCTCCTATTCTCTCTCTCTCTCTCTCTCTCTCTCGCTCTCCCCTGCCCCTTTCCCTCTTTGCCCACTATCCTTAACCTTTCTACTCAAACCGCTCTTATTTCGTATTTATTTGCACGTATATTTTTCTTGCGTGCGATTCAACTTTTTATTTTGCTTTTTTTTTTTATTTTTCTTTACTTTTTCAGCTTTTTTTCCCCCCATTTTCCAGTTTTTTCGCTTTGGTTTTATTGCCCAATACGCTTCGTAAAACATTTCACGTTTGTTGCGCATATGAATTTCAAATTTTTAAAAATGTTTCAATCGTTTCACTCGCCTTTGTTGGCCAGGTGTATGTATATATATATATGAATGTGTGTGTGTGTGTGTGCACGTTGTCTGTTGTATGAGTGTGCATGGGCCGGCGGCTGGTAGAAACTGGAGTGGATGCCAAAATGCTAATTGTGAGAAAATCGCAATGTGCGCTGCACGCCACTCCCATCGATCGGAATGATTTTTAATAGACTTAAGCCCCAAAGGACATGAATTAATGTATTTTACTCGGCATCTGATATTATTTATGTTGAGCTACCCACGTCTCGTAGGGCTGGAAATCTTCCAGCTGACCAAAAACTTGCCATGAAGCCAACTCTCAACTGTTTTTATAATAATTATCCGAAATGATTCATTCATATTATACATATTGACTTATTCAATTGTACGCTCCATGTTTAACATTATTAAGTTTTATATTATTAAGTGAAAAACAGCAAGATTGCTTATTTTGCTTCAGTCACTGAACCTTTTCGAGCGCCTGGCGAGCCATTAAATATCCTCAAGTTATTCATAAGGCTTTGATATTTTTATTTTACTTCATTTTATTTTTATTTTACTTCCTGACAGCACTCTCGGACATCTTTGCTTTACTTTACTTTACTTCACTTTACTTCATGTATATATGTATTTTTTTATGCTTTATTTGCGCTGACTTTCGCTCACGGAACGATAGACAAAAAGCACGCTCTCTTTACGTATAGCCTATAAATTCCACTTATCCAAGTCAGAGTCATCAGAGCCGTCGTCTGTATGATGTAACATCTATCTATTGACATCAGCTAACTAAGGTAATTAAGTCTTGGATTATTTATGGGAAAATGTTTATGGCAAATAAAGACTGGAAATTATTGTAGGCAAAACAGAAACTGTTGAAGTAGCTCCAGTATAGTATTTTTATTTTATTTTTTAAATGTTATTGAAGTTGATAGCAATTGAATTCACTGGATTGTCATATATGTATGTGAGTTGTCGAACAACTGATATGAGGGTAACTAGAGTTGTCCCCTCAGCAAATTCTCAAGCTAAAACATTTAACTATAGTAAATTCCTTCCTCAATGAATCCACACTAGCAATCATATTAAAGCATCTTTCATATGGAGCATTCAAACACGTCAAAGAAATACATTTGCTGACATAACAAACTAACGTTCAAAATAAAAAAAATCTCTATTTAAATGTTCATCAATTTTCTCTTAAAGGGCTTTTACAGATGGTTACAATAATAAATAATTTAAAAATAAAAGATATATAAGAACTAAACGAAAAGTGAATGAATTGGGTCTTCTATAAATGCATATATATGTATATATTATCGATATATACTGTCACATACTTAATCAAATATTCATTATACTTTTCCTGCTTAGTGTATTGAACTTCTGCTTGTGTCCACAGGTAAAAGTTGAAGCGCTTTTAGCAAATCGGATAACCATTGATTGCAAGCACAAATACAGACACTCACACATACACATAAATATAAATATGTGCATTGCTTTTAGTTTGGCGCTTATGTAACAGGTTTATTGTTGTTGTTGTTGTTGCCGTTATGTTAATCCCGGCGCAGCATAAATGTTTGCATTACTGTTGCCTGTTGTTGGCAAAGTTTTATTTCTCCATTGGCTTTTAGACGCTCAACAATGATAACAACTTGCATAGCCAAAAAAAAAGAAGGGAAATATGTGTATATACGTATATATGTATATAAGTAGCCGTAGAAACGTTCAAAAAAGTTGAGAGTCAAATTTTCCATTGCACAAAGTTGGACCTCATATGAGAAATAGCTGTGTGGCTTAGTTTGCCGTTTGCCATTGCCATTGCTGTTTGCCTTCGCCTTTAGCTTTACATATATGTGTGTATAAGGAACTGGAAATATGACACTCAATTGTACGCATCGGTAGACACTTTTGGCCTGACAATAACTTTGATTTGCATACGCTTTTGCTGGTATTTGTTTGTTTGGCTGTTGCCTCTTCACTGCGTGTGTGTGTGTGCGGGTGTGCGGGTGTGCGTGTGCTGTTAGCTACCCGCATGGGAGACAACTAGTTGACTGACTTTGTCCTGGCACTTGTTGCCTGTGGGGAAATTTAAATATGTTTTCGTATATTTTACGAAGCCAATTGCAGATAAGCGTTTTTCTTTCCGACTACTTTTGAGCTGTTTGTTTGCTCTTGGCATCGAGTGCTCAACTGTTTGCAAGAAAGGGTGCCATGCATTCAGCTGACTTGCTAACGGGTATGACCACCATTTACTAAACAACAGTTGGTCAAACTGTTTGTGTAATCTCATTGCAAAGAAAGAGAGGAGGGAGATGAAATGATTTATCGTATATATAAGCAACCGCAGCTACAACTTATATTCATTTCTGTTTCTTAATTTTTGCTATTGCTCACTTCAACTCGTTTACAGGGTATCCCTGTAGCCCACCATCTTAGGCTAACTCTACTGGTTTTTTACTCCAATGCTCTGGCATAAAAAGCTTATTATGTATGTATATTATGAAAACTTTCGCCCTGTTGTTGTAAGTGACGGGCGTAAAATGTTGCTGAACTGTCCAACTGCCCGTTTAAGGCTCTGCTCTGATATCGACTCATGCTGCTGGCATGCCTGTCTCGGCCTTTGAGGTGGGTCTGATAAAGTGGTCTTAAACACTGCCTTCAGCTGCTGCAACCGAAACGTGGACAACAACAACAACAACAAAAAAATCAATTACGTTGCCTTCATTTGCGTGAAACTTTTGCTAGCTGAGGTCAAATTGCTTAATTACAAAATTGCGCACAAGCTAAAAAACTAGAAAGAACTTACGAAAGGGGGAGAAAAAAACGAAGTAGAGGAACTGGACGAATGATTAAATTAAAAGTAAACAAAAGGCAACGTGCGTTGACCAAAGCGGCGCCACTTCGCCAGCCATTTGTGGCGCCGTCTTTTTATGGTAGCCCAAAAGAAATTCAATTCAAAATTAAAATTCTCAAAGCGTTCAAACAAAAAACCCCCGAAAATACGGCGGACAGAGCGGCCACGCCCCAGCCACAGCCGCAGCCTTAGTCAAGCCAAAGTCAAGTGGCAAAGCTGGCTAAAGAGGAGAAAAAAAGGCCAAAAGCGAGCATAAATTAATTGCGGCCAGCAAAGAAATGTGCGCTGCAGTTTGCGCTTTGTTCCTAAGACAAAAAGAAATTTTGCTGTGTGCGTTTGAGGAGCCTGGCAAAGGATGAGCGCGCGCTCTGCGCAAAGCAACGGAAGTGCATGTCGCACCGGATGTCCCAGCGAGTGCGCCATGGGATCCCGTTGCGAGGGGTTCCTCTGCAGCTGTGGAGCTGTGGAGTGCCCCCAAATTGCTCGGCAACTGCGTTTGAATATTGAATTTGACGTTTTCGCTCGCGGCGCACGGCGCACGCATAAATAAACAATTGCAAACGCAATAAATCATAGCCAAGTTAGTTAAAGATATTTCAATGGACACGCGAGTTGATTTCAATTCAGTTAGATCTTAAGCCAAGAGCTCTTTAATTCTCTCTAGTTCATATATTCTTTTTTTAGTAGGCCGACAAATGTTATTTAATTGAAGTGCACGCATTGCTGTGCTCGGAATGTGTACATTTGTTGAAATCAATTAAAATAAATAATTGAATTAATAATGTACATAATAGAAGTGAATTTACATTAACAATGCGCGCGGCTCCGTGTTTACACGT